AAATGAAGAGTCGGAACAAACATCGAGAATAACTTCTATTGAAATATGCTGCCATACCATGTATTGAAACTTTGCTTGCAAGACAATTTACCACCCCTAGATAGTTGTTTTTCATCCACTTGAGTTTCTGAATGCTGTTGAAGTTGATAAATCTCGGGAGAGAAACTACTGAGAAGCTCATTATTGTCCAGTAAGCTACAACATAGGCATAAAAGTAAGTCATTATACTAGAGAAAGAAAAAATCCGGGAACAGAAACTGATTCGGATTCGAAATTTACAGAAAATGTAGATATTCGATCTGTTTTCATCCTAGAACAATGTCGACTTACAGGATTGTTAATGACCAATTGCTTCCGAGTTCGGGTGGAACCGGTCCACTGAAGTTATTGTATCCCAAGTCCAACACCTCTAATTTCTCGAGTTTTCCGATCTCTTCGGGGATAAAACCAGTAAAAGAGTTGTTCCGCAGAATTCTGTAGAGGAAACAATGGCCTTAGATTGACTCAGGTGCAAGTATTGAACATTTATACGTGTTCGGTACGAGTATATTCAAAAAAGAAATTCAAGATTTTCATGTCTTTGGAGATTTTGGGGGGGGGTCATATCCTTATTGCCATTTCTGGGTACGTGCGGATACGCGTGTCGAACAAAGTATTTCGAAAAGAATGAATAAACCGAGTAACAAGGATATCAATGATGGAATAAACAAGAATAGTAACTTACAACGACTTAATATGAAGTAGAGATCCAAGTTCAGATGCCAATGTTCCTTCAAGACAAAGATCTTTCAAGTTCCTGCAATTTAATTCGATCATTCAATCAAATTTTAGAGCAAATTGAAGGAAGTAATCGATCAGAATTTACATATCCTAAATACAAAAAGTCTCGCATTCGCTACATAAGTGAAAAAGATTACTAAAACTCAAGATTTCAGTTCATTTCCTTATTTTTCTCGGAAAACAAACAACAACAATCGGAAAAGGACTAATTGGAGCAAGAAAATTGAAAAAGAGAACTTACAAAACAACAACTTTGCCATCGGAACACCCAACACCAAACCAGGAACACTGGTCAACGTCTCCATCTTCTTCTTTCCAATTTGACAATGAACAAAATGGATCATTCACAATTCTCTCTTTTAACCTCAACAACGCCAACCCTGCACAATATCCATTACCAATCATATATTTTCCTCCACTTTCCCAGCAAACAAACAAAACCCAGAAATTAAAAACAAAAAAAGAAAGGAAAATAAGTTACCTTCTTCATTCAATGACCAACAGACAAAAGTTTGACATAAGAAAAACAACAAAACAACACTGAAATCTTTTTTCAATCTTACAAACTTCCAATTCTTGTCCATCATCATCGTCTTCCTTCTTTCTTCTTTAGATCAAAGCTTAGCACAAACACAAAAACAAAACCAGGAATTTTTCACTCAGTTGAAACTTGAAACAGAACGCGGGGCTGAGTCAGAGGCTGAATCGAACACGATATTTAGAAGATTTTCCTTTGTTTTTGGGTTTGAAAACGCGCACACTCAAAAACTCGTAGCTCTGAAATGAACCTTTAAATATTTTTAGTTTATCTATTTGAAAATTCGGTTTTGTCGTTTTTATAACAGCGGTAAAATAATAAAATAAATCCATATTAATGGCAAATCTTTCACCCCTGGCTACCGGCGGCGGAAAAATATAAATCAAAAGAAAAAGGAGTAAAGTAGCCGCGGGTTTTTTTATGACCAGAATTGCGCTTATGAGTTTATCTTTTTGTGTAATGTTTATATAAAATTTATCTTTTTCTTTAATGAAAATTGAACATTTTATTTTAATTATTATAATTTATAAAAATTAATTTGATGATTATTATAAATATAATTAAATTTTCTATTAAATCATTATTTTAAAAAGTCGTTCATAACTAATTTTTTATTTAATATCATTTATATATAACATATTTGTTATTCTAAATATTAAAAATAAATTAAAAATTATAACTTATTTTGATGATATAACTTATAAATTATCTCTAAATATTCTGAATTTGAACTCTTACGTTTGTAAGAGATATATATATTATTATAGATTAATTTTTTTCTTGAATAGATAATATATTATTATAATTTTTAGTTATTCGAAAATAAAATTAAAATTTATATCTAACACAGTTTTAAAACGATAGTTTATTTGAGTGATAAAAAGGTAAGATCAACCATAATAAAATAATTTTAATTTTTAATTAACATTTTATATGAAAAATAAAAGAAAAGTGGCAATTGTTGACCGAGACGTTTTTGGTATTTTCCTTGGAAGAGGGTTAGGTGGGCCCAACTCTGACTTGGCATGAACTTGATTTTATTTATTTATTTTTGGTGGTAGGTTTAAAGGTTTTTTTTATACATAATTATTATTTATTAATTTGTCGAGTTTGAGTGACTTTCTTTGATGTTTTCTTACTGACTTAATTAATTTAGATCCAAAGTTAAAATAATAAGTGAATAATTTTAAAATAGTGTTGAGTTATATTTATTTATATTTTAAATTTTAAAAATATAGAAAAGACATTTCCCTGTTTAAGGCTGCTCGTAAAAATCTATGTTCTACTAATTTATTAAAAATTACTTCTATTTAATTTAAACGAATTTAAAATATTAGAATTCCGCGTATATAAAATTATCTAAAATAATACAGCTAAAAGTAAACTAATATCTTGTGTGATAATAATTGATACCCATTTTGAAAACTTCGTTGCTTATGTTAGCTGACAATGAAACTTTACGAATTAATCGTACCTAAAATTTGTTTAATTAAATTTAAAAAATTTACGTACGATATTAGTTTCATGCTGAATCAACAACCTATTTTGTCATTTTAAAAGTTCATTAATACTAAACTTTGCTTTATTCTTTTATAATTCGTATTTCACCATATTTATCGATATAAATATGTAGTTAAAATTTTCAGTTGACACTTCTTTTCTCTGTTAGATTATGGATTCAATACTCATCAGGAGTAAAACTTTCCTTATCCTTCTCATAGGTATAAATTGTTAAAAAATGAATCTAATTGTATTATGGGTAAATTATAAACTTCAATCCCACTAGTTTTGCTCATTAAATTTTAAAATTGATCATATAATTTTAATATTACTTTTATTATTATCATCCTACGTTTAATATTAATAAACTCACTTTTAACTTTGGTGGATATATGACAACCGAATCATCCATTTAAAGATCACTACAGTAGAGAGACTCCTATTGTAGCAAGAACACATATCTCTGTTTAGGCTCCATCTATTGGTAGGCGATGAAGATCATAGAACAATAAACCAAAGTGTTCGAATCTAAATTCATGAAGTTCGGGATGTTTTTTTATCAAACGAACATCATATTCACATTCAAGAGGTAAAACGGATTTGATAAAATTTAGGACTCGTCCATTATAAATAACAATATCGATAATGATTGAGCTAACAATTGATGCAATGATTTTTTTCGTTTAATTTTTTATATAATTATATATTTTATTATTTTGTAATCATTTATTCATCGTTGTTATCCGTGCTAATAGATATACATATCGGCACACGTACATATATAGAATCGAAGAAGAATGACAGGCCACCTAAAACATTGTTGCTTTGTAATTTAGACAATTAAACGTGCAAAAATTGTTTATGACCATTTAAATAATATCAACTTTCCACATAAACCTTATAAGCAAAGCTTTTATTAAAATAAATCTCAAATCCATAAAATTTAGTAGAATAAGCGATTCCACTGTCATATGATTTTAAAATCAAAATTCACAACTTTTATTTACAAAACATGCACACATAAATAAATAAAAGAAATCATTCACAAAATAATATGCACATGCCATTAATATTGGTAATATAGAGAAAATACATGATTTCGTTATGTCGCTCTCTAGAAATTTGATGTAGTCCAAAATAGTTACCAATAATAAAAATATAAAAAAATCATATAAAATATACTTAAAAAATAATAGTTCAAACTAACATTCACAATAAATCCTCTAAGCAAAATTCATTGACTTATGAGACCTTTCTTACCGACATATTCGTTAATCACATTTTCTAAGCCAAAAAATCTCACATTGGAGAAGATGAAGGGAGAAGTGATGATTTTTTTTTAATTTCATTAATTTTTATATTTAAAATCTCATACAATCTAATATAATAATAAAATCCATTAAATTAATATTATATTTCATATCTACTATTCTCTTTTCTTTATAATTAAATAAAAATATTTCCACATATAATACTAATTTCTAATTAGTATTCATTTCAGAAACATTTTCTTTCATAATTCTCACGAAATACTATTTTTTTGAGATTTAATCACTATGATCCTTAAACTCTCTTATTCAAAAAAAAAATCCCGCAAAAAATTTAATTTGTATTCAATCATAACTATCTGTTATATTTGTATCAAACTTTTTATTTATTTACAATTTGACTTCAACTTGACAAATCAAACCAACTTAGTCCAAATTGCAATCATTGTTTGACAAAATTTGACAATATGGAAAGTTGTTACCATTTCCATCTTTCCTGAAATAAAAATACAAGAATTAAGATATGTAATTTAATGTTGTCCATAATACTATATTTGATCAAATCAATCAACATATCTTTTTTTTTAGTTTGGGCAATTACAAGATATATATTCGAAAGATTCTAAACTATTTGATAATTAACTTTCAAACATCCTACAAACATCATGCTTAAACTCAAAATCTTCAAGATAATAATCATCCCTTTAATCACTAAAATCTCTTGATTTATGCCGATCAATATATCTTATTTATCAACAGACGACATATTCTTATATAATTTTGATATAATCACAGATAAATTATCTTACAACTTGAAGTCTATTTTTCATTTTATTAATTTAAATTATTTATTTATGTTTAAGCTAAGAAAAAGAGTAGGCCATTCGACGGTGACCCGGGCCACAAGACGGGCACCTAACGAGACCGTTAACGTTACACTCGTTACAAGTTCGAAACCCAGATTTTTCACAATAGATCTTATGGCTACCATTACACTCACGACAAAGAACAAATCTGAGCCCTCCACATATCACAGACACTGGACCCCACAACAATAGGTGACTGACCAATCAGCTTCTTCAGTTCCCCACACTCATGTAACCGCTTGATATCCTCGCCCCCACCGATGTATTTCCCGCCGATAAAAACCAACGGTAATGTAAACCTCTTCATCTCGTTCCGTCCGAAGATCCCCTGCAACTCGTCGACGGAATTCGAGTCCAACGACAAATCTCGCTCGTCGATCGGCACTCCGTATCCGCGCAGGATCGACCTGACGGTCTTGCAGTCCTCGAACGTCTTACGGACAACGCGGAGACTAGTGAAGTAAAGCACGATACGGTCATCGGAGCGGTAGCCGTTCGCCGATAAGGAGCGGGAGAGGGAGGTGGAGAGCTTGAAGCGGTGGAAAACGGAGGGGTAGGAGCGGAAGGCTTCGTCTTCTTTGAGGATCGAGTTGATGTCTTTGAATGAAGTGAAAGAGAAATGCGAAGGTGATTTCGGTGAGGAGTTTCCACTGTTTGTCTTCTGTGATTTCAGCCATTTGGGGAACATTCTGGAAGGGAAGGGAAGGAGAAGAAAGGGATTTGAGGGTTTAGGGAGGGATTAAGATGGAAATTAAAGAGTATAAATACAAGTTAATTTTGGATTTAATTGTTATTAAGGCAATGACAGATTTGGTTGAGGTAAGGCAAAGATTAAGGAATTTATGATTGATGCCTCTTTTGAAATATATTAGAATTGGATGCAAGATTAGGATGAATAATCCCTTTTAGGTAATTCTTTGTAATATTGTAAGAATCAAATAGGTTGTTGAATCGGTTTTATTATTAGAGAAAACAATCTCAGTGACCAAAAATGTCTTATAATATACGATTTTAACCAACTTTTTTTGGATTTGCCAAATGACCAACTAAATCGCAATGCGATCGATAATTCGCAACGCGATCTCCGATATCGTAAATCAGTTTCCAGATTCTCAACGCGATTCTGACTATAGCATTGCGATTTTCCTAATTCGCATTGCGAATACGTAAATCGCAATGCGAATTTGGAAAATCGCAATGCGATTACGTAAAGCGCAATGCGAATACGTAAATCGCAACGCGAATCTGACTATCGCAACGAGATTCTGACTATCGCAATACTGAATTTCAAATTCGCAACTCGATTTCTGAATTCGCAACAGGTTTTAGTTTCGCAACACAAATGTTTTGGGTATATAACTACGCAGCAGCAACAACTCATAACCTAAATCCCTAAATCGCAACTCATTTCATCTCCATCTATCACTCTCTCCGGTGACATCCGTTCCTATATCCAACGACATCCTTCCCCATCCGGCAACAGGTTTTAGTTTCACAGCTCGTTGTTTAGTAAATTAATTTACAATAATGAAATCATCTAATGTTGATCATTTTTGGATAGATTTGTTTTGGAGGGTCATGGGAGAATGTTCATGGTGTTTTACAATATATGCCTTTACCCATGAATCTTCAACTAAAACTGTCATTAAAAAAGTTAACTTATGAAACTCTAATGTTACGTGTTGCAAATAAATTGAATTTAGAGCCCCTAAGTGGATTTAGGCTATCTTATCAGAGAAATGATAAAGTTTATTTGTTAACCGACAATGAAGATGTTGAACGATTCATTGCTTACATTAGTGTTTCAAGTGATGATGTTACATTGTATGTTGTTGAACCTAGAAGTAGTGAAGTTAGGTCAGTGGCGGGTAGTAATCAACTAAGTTTTTCAACCCCAGTTTATGGTGCTCAAAATTTAATGGTTCCACCACAATTTCATCACCAAGCAAATATTGTTTCACCACATTTCCAATACCAAACACAATCTCAAAACCCACAACCTTTCCCTAATCCAAATCCCAATCAACTTTCAGCACCAAATTCTGGTTTTCGTATTGATCAGTTAGACGATGATGAGCCAACAGAAAAAATTGTGAGTACTAGTCAGTTTTTGAAATTTGATCTTGGTCAATACCCGGACTTTGATCTTGGTCAATACTCGGATTTTGATGATTTTTCAGAAGAAGAAACAGACCCTGCGTGTAATGATTTTGATATTGGTCAATACCCAAATTTTGATGATGAAACAGCCGTTGCCGAGGAAGATGTTGTTGATGATAATGAGGAGGAAGTTAAGACTGTAAATGAACATGTTGAACATCCATTCTGTAATTCATATAACACTGAAAAAGAAAAAGAAGAAGAAGAAATCCCCAAAGAAAAGTCCCCGAAGAAAATGCCACGAGAGTATAACTGGAATATGCTAGAATTACTTCAGATACCGGAAGAAGAGTTGGTAAAGATAGCAGTTGATTGTTACACAAAAATTATTCGTATCAAGAAAGATGATTGTTTTGATACAAAGGAAGACTTGAAGATAACTTTGTATACGAAATGTGTGGAAGATGGCTATCAACTAAAAGTTAACAAATCAAGCAAAGATCGTTTCGAAACAAGGTGTATGATTGACAAAAACTGTACGTGGAGTATGATTGCAAAGAGGATAAAAGATTGCGAAATGTTTCAAGTTAGGACTTTTATTGATAAACATACATGTTCAAGAACCCAAGTTTTTCCTCACCATAAACAGGCAAACAAAAAGGTGTTGGGTGGTTTTCTGGCTGAGTTAATGTTTTTGAATGGCAGGGTATATCGGGGACATGAAATTATGACTGACATGAATGCTCGGTTCAAGATTAGTATCTCATATTCTCAAGCTTGGAGAGCCAAATGTTATGCCTTGAAATTGTTGAGGGGGTCGCCAGAAGCATCGTTTGCACAACTACCGGCTTATTGTCACAATTTAAAGCTGAAAAATCATGGGTCGGTAACTCATATCAAAACAGATAGAGATAGACGCTTTGAGTTGCTGTTTATCGCCATTGGTGCTACGGTTAGTAAATCAATATTTTGTTGACTCATTTTTGTTAGTTACATGCATTTCACATTTAAATGATTATATTTCTTGTGTATATGATTTTGTATTCGTTCGTTTATTAATTGCATGCACCCAGTTATTATAGTTGACGGAGCACATTTAAAAGGTCGATACCTTAGAGTAAACTTATTAGTAGTAGCCATGGATGCTAACAATGGGATACTGCCAATAGCTTACGGGGTTGGCAAATCTGAAACCTCTGATTCATGGACATGGTTTATGGGGCATCTTAGGGGTTGCATAGGTCATGTTAGCAATCTGACAATCATATCCGATAGGGCAAACTCAATTGACAACGCTGTTAGAAGGTGTTTCCCAGATGCTTTTCATGGACTTTGTAGTGTTCATTTGTATAAAAATCTAAAATCAAGGTCTGCTGGTATAAAAAATCATAAATGGACATTCTGAAAGGCTGTAAAAGCTTATTGGGAAGTGGATTTTAATAAGCATATAAACTGTTTAAGACGTGTTTTGCCTCAGTGTGCTCAAACACTAGAAGATGTCGGGCTTGAAAGATGGTCAAGAGTACATCAACTTGGAGCAAGATATGGTTTCATGACATCTAATAGTGCAGAATCAATCAACGCTCTAAGTCGTCATTCCCGGAAATTACCCATTACTATGTTAATGGAGTTTTTTCGAGCCTCTATTCAACAGTGGTACTACAAGAAAAGAAACCATGCAGATATTATTTCTTAAATTCGTAACTTATCATATTTTACTAAGTATTATTTATTTAAATTTACAGGAACATTGGAAAATCGTGTTACACCATGGACTGAAAAAAAGATAACGAAATGTGTTGTGAATCAACGTCATGGAGAGTTGAACCATGTTCAAACACTTTGTTTGAAGTACTAGATAATAACTTAAATGGGTTTGTCGATCTAAATGCAAAGACGTGTAGTTGTATGAAATGGAAAACATCTGGTTATCCGTGTGGCCATGTTATAAAAGTTGCTCTTCATCTAAACCAATATGATTCAAGCGCATACGCTATGGATTGCTACACTACAGAAGTATATCGACAGACTTATGTCGAGATTGTCTACCCTATTCTACATCATTCTGAGTGGGACATACCATATGACTTACAAACAGTTTTGCCACCAGCCATGGACAGAAGGCTACCTGGCCGACCAAAAAGTCACGATCGTACCGTCTAAGGGTGAAGAGAAGAAGAGATCGACATGTAGTCGGTGCAAGGAAAGTGGTCATACAAGGTTGACATGTGGATCACCAGTGCCATCACAATCATCTTTTCCTCTACCAAAATATGGATCCTCATCAAAATCCCAATCACAACCGGCTTCACCTTTTGGGATTGTTAACTTAGGTGATTTTTAAATGCAAATGTTGTATTATGTGTATATTATGTGAACTTTTAACATTTTCAGTTAGGCATGTATTAGTAACTTGAGTTTGAACATTGCTATGATATGTTCAGTTGTTATCACTTATTAGACATTCATTTGACTATCGCAATGCGGAAATCGCAACGCGAATATGACTATCGCAACACATAAATGACTATCGCAACGCGAATGACTATTGCAACGCGGAAATGACTACCGCAATGCGAAATAAAAATCGCAACGAGTGAATCGCAATGCGAAATTAGTTTCGCGTTGCGATTTTCATTTTCGCATTACGATTTTCATTTTCGCATTACGATTCACTCGTTGCGATTTTCATTTCGCATTGCGATTCTCTCGTTGCGATAGTCATTTCCGCGTTGCGATAGTCTGTTTTGCATTCAACATAATGCAGATTGAAATCAACAAATCAACTATTACATTTCAATCAATTAAACAAGCACAATAATAATTATGTACACATCAATTAAACAAATCAACATTTACAAATCATCTTTTACAAATCAATTAAACAATCAAAAAATAAATAATAAGAATTATTTCCTCATTAATTATTGAATCAATTTTGCACCCATACATCCATTTCGCAGCTCACTTCAGGATTAACCTGCAAAAACCAAACATTGAATCAACAACACTTTTTACACATCTAAAACCTACAAACAGCAAATTATTGAATTCTAGTTACTTAACCAAACATTTTCAAACCAAAAAGAGTATATATGTTTAACAACACTTGCATTTGACTTACAAATTGTTTATGGACACTTTCATAACACGGATGCAGGTAGGCAGCGTCTCGCATATATCGCTCTAGCCATAAAATGCCGAAACCACAAGCCTACTGCACCTCTATCTCTATCGGTGGGAGGTAGAAAATGTGTACTTCCTGTCGTCAAACGCTCCAAGCAAATGCATACAAGAGGACCATAATCCCCTCTGGCTTCTTTCGTTTGTTGTGGCGCGTTCTCGTCTCTGATAACTGTAACATTGAACTTCTTTGGCTTCTTGTTTCCAGAATTAGTCCAATAATTAATTGCATCCAAGAATTTAGCCAAATGAGACCTCCATCCCTTAATAATATCTCTCAAATCAGACAATGATATGTAATTTATCATGCTGTCATATACTATTGTCTCTAGGGATGGGAGCTGAAGATCGACGAGAAGCCAATGAGTACGTTCCAAAACACGGATAACACCTGCATCGAAATGTAATAATTCAAATTGCACACTTA